AATAAAATGAATAAAATTAGACTTCAGCTTATTTTTACAAACTGTGAAAGGGGTTAGATGGAAATCTTAAGGCTTCCGAATGTCAACTTTTGACTACGAAACAGTTCGCTTTTAATCATGTAGAAGGTTAGATCTCAGAGTTGGTCATATTTACATACTAGATAATGAGTTTCACTTGAACATTACTATCTTAGGGTTTTTCGGACTAGTTCTGTGTTCGCTAGTTTAAACCACCTATTATCTTATGAATATGACAGTGAATCTTATTCACAATTTCAGAAAATGATTCCAGTTATATTAATACATTTTAAGTCTGCTCTGATCTAAATGGAAAATAAATCAAAACCTTTCATAATAAATAAAAGAAAGCCATACCTTTGTTCCTTGATTAGGCCAGTTCGGTTCAGCTAGGCGGCAACCTTGTCTGACATGAACGGTTTCTAATACGATAAAACCAATGGTAAGCGTGATCAGCTTGTAGTAACCTAAAGCTCGTGGTTACGAGTCGTTATGGTATCATTGGTACGTAAACAGCTTTGAATCCCAAACTAGGATGAGAAAGCTTTTCAAAGCATTTTGATTTTTAAAAATTCACTGAGTAATTTCGTCTCATAAAGGAAACCATACGGAGATTACTGTGAATCAACTCCCGGTTTACTTTGCTTTACAGAAGCCGTTGTTATCAAAACGATTTTAATCAAATCTCTGTAGACTCATCTTACACTATCATGTTAAGGAGACGTCTGTACACTGTTTCTGTGTTTGCGTTTTTCTTTCACTTTGCTTCTTTACTTCTACAATCTCCTCTCGAACATTCCATTACATCATGTATACTTAAGCTCTGGTTGTTAGATTATAAACTCCATTATGTTATTATTTCTTACTCCGGATGTAAGCCCACTTAGCGAAAAGAAACTCTGACAGCGAATCAACCAAGAACCTGTTTCCCGGAAAAAATAGAGATGGATTAGACACACGCTCTTAGGAATCCGCTAAGTGATATAACTCACCAGGTATAATCTCCAGTGTAAACCGAATGAGGGATAATGAGTTGGACGTTAGTCCAGCAATGATGTGTAGGAAATAGGGTGTGAAAAGAAGATAAAAGCCTATAGATATTTATATTCCCAGCTAAACAGGACTTCACAGAGCCTAGTGGAATAAAGATGTGCTTTTGAAGTGACATGTTCCACTGCAAACCTAAGGGGAAAATAAGAATGTCATTTATGTCAATTTTAGGCCATTAGAAGTTGATGAAAGTCGTGAAGAAAAACGGTATGAGCTCTTTTTATCCTGCGAATATGTTTCGTCAATCTCTTTTGATCAAATTAATCAGAAGAACTAATAGTTTTATGAAATTGTCTCTACAATAATAAAGAACCATAATTTACTTCCTGATTAGGAAATAATAAGAATAATTAACTGGGATGTATGTAGATTTCACTCATTTTTCATTAAAACAGTTTAATGCGAAAATAGATGTATGTATTTATTTGCCTATGTGTACATGTAATTAGGTATTTACATGTGTGTGTGTGTATGCGTGTGCGTAAGTGGATGTTTACACTCGGACAGAAAACATGTTTCTCGTTTTCTTTTTCAAAAAACTGAATAATTCATTAAGAGAAATTAAGTGTATCGTTAGGAAATTACATGACATCAACTCTAACATGCACAATAAATCTTATTTTGTATGCCTACATGCAATATCTTTCTGTTTGCTGGTGTGTGTGTGTGTGTTAGTGTGTGGGTTTGTATCGGTTTCACGTTGAGTGTTTTGACTATGTTTACCCATAAATATGTCAACATTAATATACACTATTAGCTGACAATGAATTTAGGGTCAAAATGTTTTCAATACATGCGTAGATGTGTTTAAGGAAAGTTAAAAGTATCTTTTTGAAGATCATGATATCATAAAATTGGAAAGTGTGGCCCAGATTTTTATATTCAGATGAAATGAAGCACCTGTCTCAGATGTTTGCTGACATTTATTGATTATATAGATTAGTGTAGTTAAAAGCTTTAAAAATTACTTGAATTTCTAGAATAAGTGAAAAGGGATTGATTAGTGAAGTAAAATAGAACTTTTTGCACAACCTTACACCTGTTCAAGTGATAGCATGTCAAGTAGAAAAGATGGCTTCAGGCTTTCAGCTCTCGATGTCCAGTAGCAGTGGTGTTGTCAGCCTTATATGCAGGGATGCATTCCTTTCCCAGCCTAATACAGGTTATGAGACTAGTTGAGGTTTAGAAGTCTACCAGATGGGTTCTAAATCCAGAATCATTTATATGGTCAGCAAGAGTTTCACAATTGACGCGACTATTCAAGTTAGCACACCACAAAAAGGCCTAGATGCACATGGATAGAAGAAGGTGCTTAAAACATGGAAACTTCATATATTTACTCCCCTTTATGAATATGAGCAAGAGCAAAAGTTTTCGTGGAATAATATGGTACCATCATTGCTGATTTCGTTGGTTTCTCATCATCTGCTTACAGCCATAATACATTATTATTAGGTTGATGTACAGAAAAGTTGTAACATACTTCCAAATTTATGTGATATCAGTTGACAGGAAGTTTCGAATTTAGTGGACAGTGAGCAGAAAATTAAGTTTACAAAGATTTATACATGTAGTTCAAGTTTAAACTAGGTAAATGTATGCATACAGTGATAAAGGAGCTACGTAATAAGAACCAGAGGTACGTAGGATGATGAACAACTAATAAATTGATTGACAATGTACTGATTTCAACTGAAATCATATAAATTAGAGACAAGCAAAGTTACACTATATCAAAAGGGTGAGGGATTGAGTTATAGTCAAAGATTACTCAATCAAATGAAGAAGGGAATAAAGACATCCAGTTACTTGTTCAAGGGAAGACTGATCACTGCTTCCTTCTGAACGAATAAATTAGATTTTTTGACGTTCGAAAGAAATTGTTTCGGCAAATCTTAGCAGAAGTGAGCTTTCCTGTCTATGGATAATTTTGGAGAAATTTGCGATTTCCACTTCATGAGTCATATGAAGGAGTTGTCTCGTTAAGGTACTATTGTAAGCGTTTGTTCCTTTGAGGCGTAGGCTTTTCGAAAGATGTTCAGAAAATTGGAGTTGTGTCCCTCTTTCTGTTCCCCCAATGTAACTGTTCCCACAGATACACGTAAATTTGCATACAGACTTGAAGTTAACATGAGAAGGGTATCTGTCGACTTAGGACTGTAGCAAGAGAAATGTTGTCTAATAGACGGGAACCAAATTATCAGCAGGATGGGCCCCGGCTAGTGACATACTCAATCTTCTATTGACTATTGCTGCAATATTTGCAGCTCTAAAGTTGAATTGAATGAAGACAGGCTTTTTGCCTACTGTGATTTGTTTGATATTTGTCAGTGAATCTCTGAAGGGAGCCGTGGTTTTTAACATCTTTTCAAGAAAAATAAACGCTTCGTTTGACCTCTATGTAAAGGATATTCTTCAGCTGTAAAGTACAGAGACTTGACTGGTGTTCTTTTGAAGTTATTTGGACAAAATCTAATAAAATGTAGGTATTTCCTATTCCATGTAGACTTTGGGTAAATTGACCTCTGGAGATCACTATCTTCTAGGCGTTGCATAGCAGTGTCAAGGAAATGGAACTTCCATCATTTTCATGTTTCATCGAAATAAATGATAATACCATATTATTCTGCAAAAACTGCTGTTTTTGCTTTGTTCAAAAACGTAGAAGACTGAATTATCTAATGATTTCTGTTAATGACAGCAAAAGTGAATATAATTGTGACACTGTAACACTCCTGCTTCTAGAAATCAGATTTTGACATCCTATGGACTTCATTCAAGCCAACTATACTTTACTAAGACGAATGACTTGATGAAATGATATCCAACTTAGATCCAAACGTTCTCAATTCATTTTCAACTTTACTTTAATGTAACTTACATTTTCCGTTTTATGAGGCATTTGATTGATATGAATAACGCATCTATCGCTGAAGATTCACTACTGAACTGAGAATTCATTGTTAGCTAGTGAAATGTTCTCCATGACGATGAGAAATATGATAGCGCTATGGGAATCTTAATGAGCCCAGGGTAAGTGTTTTTCATCTCTGTCATTAGTTAGAAATAACGAGATGGGTGATACCAGTGTTTGAGAATTACTCATAATTTTCAAGATCGTCTGAAACAGGCTTGAATCAGACAACCGAAGTTGACGTAAAAGAGTGACGACTGAAGTGTCTTCCAAGTTACACACCCAATCTGGTGAACAGTCGAGTTTCCAAAGCAAGTTAGTAAAACACTTAGCTATAAATCCAGAAACCACTAACTTAGATCTTGCGGTGACTCATCTCTAGTCAACATTCTTTACATGAATATCACTCGACATATCTATCGGTATTTCAAGCACCTTCGCCAGCAAATAATCACTTCTTCCATCTTCCTAATACTAATACCTAAAAAATCAGACGTGCAGTCAATTTTATGGATAAACAACTGTATCTTCATATTCATTAAGAAACTTTTTTAGCATTATAGCTGCTATGATAGTATTTCTGCTCCTGTTGAATAAACTGTTACCAACATCATTGGTTGCAACTATAATTTATATAATAATATGTTTAGCATCACTAGCTGGATTTAGTAATGTACTGGGCGACGATAGAAATGAGACTTCACGGATAATCAGATTCCACCCCACTGACTGAACGATAACTTTCTCACCTCTTATGTTGAAGACGTGACATTTGGCTTCTACTGGGGTTGTTGGTGCTTAATAGAAATTGAAATGAAACTGATATAAAGGATCCATTCATTGCTTCTTAATTTCCAAATGGTTCCCTAGCTGACGTCTATTTGTGAGAGAATCATTTTGTAATATTTTAAACATCACTCAACTTGCAAATTTAAGTTTTAAATCGCTTATAGTGTTCTGAAACAACTGAAACTCATATAATTTGAAAAGGTTTTGCTATAGGTAACTAATTACTTACCAATACAAAACTGAGATTGTCTAATCTTTGGGTAACTTCTTTTGTATATGAAATCTGATTAGTTAGTGGATTAGTGTCTTCAAAATGGAAATTAGATCCTTTGACATCAATATTCGTCAGCTGAATAAATGCTGAAAACCACAATAACAAAGAGAAAAACGGAGACTGTTAGGGATAATAATAATTGTTACGATAAAAGCAACAAAGGTTTTGTGCTGACCAGTGAGATCAAACACATTTTATGGGAGGACAGGTGAACGCTGATGACATTCGCTGGCAGTTTGACTAGATACATGTAACGAATGAGATTAGAATTCATGAGTCATTAGACTTTTTCTATAGTTTGGTTTGTAAGGGTTACTTATGTTTTTACGAGTTGATCACGGATTGATATCAATTAGAGAACCATTGAAAACCAGCACTGGAGTAATGGATGGCTGTTTCATCCTAATTTGGGAATCATCGGCAGTACACACCCACTGGGATTCGAACCCAGGACCTTCCGGTTACAAGGCAAGCTCGTATACCATTCAGCCACTGGGGCCTGATTCAATGGCTAGCCCATGAATTCTAACTTCTAACAATTCGTGATTTAGCGCGACCACAACCATTGTCGTTGGTGGGACATCCATCCACACACGTGACAGCTAATTGGACCTCACTAGTCACGACTTCTCACTAGAACTCAGGAAGTTCCATCCTGTAGCAAGTCACCAGCGAGCATCAGATTAATTTTCTATAGTTTGGTTTGAAAAGGTTAGTGGCTGAATGGTATACAAGCTTGCCTTGTAACCGGAAGGTCCTGGGTTCGAATCCCAGTGGGTGCGTACTGCCGATGATTCCCGAAACTAGGATGAAACAGCAGCTGTCCAGTACTCCCTGGTTTTCAATGATTCTCTAACTGATATCAATCCGTGTTCAACTCGTAAAAAGTCATTAGACTCCCTTTCATAGAATAAATGGACTAATAGCTCGACTTATAACCTGAAAGTCCTGAGTTTGATTCATAGTGAAGCCTTGAATTCAGACTCTCATATTTAGATCCAACTGATTCTCCAATTGACATGACTTACCGATCTCCCTTGGAATTTATCAAAGACTTAATATTGTCGTGAAATATCTATATTATATTTATATACTGTAACTTAATTATACTGCAAGATGTTGCATCCACTCTCTCATATCGCTGCATACAGACAACCAAAGAGATAAATTCAACTGGGACAACATTCAAATATTAGACAGAGGAAACACCAAGAATTCTAGAGAATTTTTAGAAGCATGGTATTCCAGTCAATCGCTAATCAGTAGACACATCAACATATACAAAATCTGCCAATAGATAAGAAGGAAATCTCACACACAAAGGGTCAAACTTCAGGTCAAGGAAATAATCAATTCCAATGCAAGTAGCCTAGAGGGTGTGAAAACTAACAAAAACAACCAACCACGTTCAATGTCAACAGGAGAGATGACTAATAAACTCGTGGAGAAATCTAAAAGCTCACTTCAACGAATTGAAGTATGCGCTGAAGATATCGCCTAGTGGGGCGATGAAAGCTTCGCAAACAAACCATCCAGCTCAGTGAACACAACTTCATCAAAAACTTTATAACATCAAGATAGTACTGAGACTGTCAGAAAAGCAGAAGCAAAAGTTATTACACAATGATCCAAGTAGTTGACGTCGCACTCGTTATAAGTTTACATCGTTTATGAATAAAGGACAAAGATGGAGCAGAATGTGAGCCCGACGGTTGAAGTTATCAGGAAAGAGGAATCATGTAAATAAGTGTGATACTGCATTCAGCATAATGGTAATACTGATCCAATATAGTCGTTTCCCCTGCATTTCTCATATCAATAATAAACAGCCACACAGATTGAGAACACCGTTTAACCATATGTAAACTTAGTGGATTTACTCAGGCACTCGATTTGCAAGAAATAAGTTCCGGATTTAAATCCAGAGCCAACAAAATCGTATAGTAATCCCTCACACAATAAGCTTAGTTCACAGACTGATACATGAAAAATATATTTATACATTGGATTATTGAACGCCAACAGCAGTAACCTTTGACCTGGTCACCTCTCACCCTATTCCAATGTAATCTTGGTATGGAAATTTAAAATACAGTTGATAAAACAAGATAAATTCAGAAAATTCTAGTTAATTTCAGGGTGAAATATATTCATCATAAAATTAAAATACAAAAAAAGTAGTTAAGCGAAGAGTCACTTTTGGTGAGTTCACTTTCTTTAGTTTTACAACCTCATTTATGTATAATTTTCTCGTAAAAGGAGATAGTAAGAAAGGGGTGAATCATCATAAGAATAGTCGCTAATAATAATCAGTAGAGTTGAATAGGAGTGACATAGTGACCTAATGAGACAAATTAATTTATAAGTGAGTTGTAAACATGGTACACATAGAAAAAAAAGAAATTTTATGTTGCCTAAGAGTTCGGAAGGATAGATGAATAAGAAAGGGTCAGAAAATTAAAATAACAGGGTCTATACCATGATAATAGAAGTGGATGGAAGGTTTTCGCTTGTATGCTTAGCTCCTGTTTCTCCATCTGTACAGCCACAGCTTCAGAAGTAAAAGGGAGGCTACAGTGTATTTTCTTTTAATTTTCATTTTGTTAATCACATTGAAGGCATAGCTTGCTGAAATTGAGTGGCCAGTATCTACAAGGTATTCAGTTATTGTATTCCTTGTGGAGCTACTGCGAACTTTCTACAACCATGTGAGATGGTATTCTTCAGACAGGAAACGTGTCGAACGCCCAATATGCGTGGCTCCACAAGAACAGGTAGACTGATATGTACTCATAGAAATGGTGAAATGCGAAATCTTATCGTTCGGGTGACAGAAGAGCGCTACAATTAGCGTTGCTGTGAAGAAAATTCTTCTTAGAGAGGCTGGAATTCTCATCCAAAGGACATTAATATGTGGGTCACGTTTGTATTCTAGGTTCTTGTAAAGCTTTTCTGGCACGGATGACTTCTCTACTCTCTGAATCAGTAAATCTTGGTGGATATCGATTTTAAATGAAGATGTCTTCCACAGAGCGTAGTTATTCTTCCAGAGGATCACAACTGCAGATGCGTTAGACATGAGTAGTCAGAGATATAATCAGGTTCCGTTTACGTCCAATTGGTACCCAGGGAAACTCAATAGGAACACCATCAATCGCTGGGGAATACAAGCATATACAGATGACAAAACATACTCAATCTGAATTTCACAACCATTTGGTATAGATCACCAATGAAATTCAGCCAACACTAAACACCAAAAAATACGTAAAGGCTTACTCTTCAGCAGCTATTAGTAATCTTCCATGGGAGGCTGATTTCTACGCTAATAGAACTATGTTGACGTCACCGATTACACTACTGTGTAACTTGGAGTTTACACATGCTTTTCTGACAAGTGCATGATAAGCACAAGACCTAGATTCAGAGCTTTATTCTGACTGCCTCTAACCGTCTAGCATCTTATTATAAAAGTCACTTTAAGAATATAATTTATTACTTTGTTCAAGAATTAATAGATTAAACACATTTCTTAGGAAAACTTAAGCATCATGTCAGATATTCGTTATACATATGAAAAGTCATAGATGAATCCATCCTAATGCTTAGGGACACATAAAGCACTAAGGCCATTATTCTCGGTACACACCAAGTGATCACAGCTATAGACAATCAAATCCCTGAAAACACACATTTGACAGTTGGAAAGAACAAATAAGTACAGTTTTAATCACTCATTATCTTACATCAGTTAGAGAGTCATTGGAAAACCGAGGAGTACTTGACAGATGATCCGTTCACTTACGGGACTATTCAGTGGCATGGAGGGTATTCTAGTTACAAGGTGAGTTCATAAATCATTCAGACACTAAAATCAGGTCTTATAGCCAGTGAGTTCAAACATCTGTAACTTTGTGATATATTGCGCAACCTGATGCTCATGAGTGACTGGCAGTATACAGGAAGACATCTGCAGTCCTGGTGACAAATCGTAACCAGAGGGCTGAGACCAGGAACGTAAAATAACAGCTACTTTTTTTACCTTTGGGTGCTGGTTGCGCTATAGATTTCCTGCATCGGCGAAAGTAGGAATTCATTGGCTAGGACCCAGTGGCTGAATGGTCAATGAGCTCGTCCTAGTTCCTAAGTGAATACCCTGGTTGGTTCATACCACTGAAGAGTTCCACATCAAATGAAACATCTACTCAGTACTCTGAGGTTTAGTTATAGTTCTACAGTTGATGTCAGATTATAATTTAACTTGTGATCAGTCGAATTCATACAAACCGAAACTTACAAAATGTGAATTATTAATTACAAGTGACTAATTAATTAATCAGGTAATTAACGATTTTTAAACAATAATATAATGAATATTCAGTGAGCGTTTTCACTGATGAACAACAGAGTAAGAGAAAGAGAAGAAAAAAGCTGAAGAAAAAGGGATTTTGGAACTACTGATTACCACATGAATACTACGTACGAAAATGATCATAACAACAGGCAAAAACTCACATCTTTGAAGGTATTCACATACTCACACTGTTGTCATACATGCACTCAACTTTCGATTGACTCTCTTAGTGGTGGATGATTTCAATTAGTAGTCATCGATTCATTCATTAATTAAGTTAAAAGATCGATTGTTGTTTTAACTATTTATTTTAATAAATCACTTTATTTTAAGCGGGAAAAACAATATTGTATTTCTTTTAAGAGATATCGAAATCTGTTGAATACAGTTTGACATAGATGTATATACATGGGAAAATAAAAAAGTATTATTCTAACTAGTATTTTATTTTACTATTTCACTTTTTTAATCTCAAGGGAAAAACAGATCATAAGAAATTTAATTAACTCTGGTTATGTCATAGTGTCGGATATATATATTCCGCGAATGAAGAAAAGAAATCTGAATTTTCTTAGAAAACATCGGAAGTAAAGTTAATTTGGATTTCATCAACAAAAAAAAACAAGATGGATATTATTTTGAGAACTAGTGGAAGGCTTACAAGCAGTGAGTGTCTGGTGGGTTTGTTAGTGTAACTCTTTAGAGAACTAGAAATTGTCTTCCCTAAAATGT